CTTCCATGGCACTTTTCATTCTATTACAAGCAGTTTACGCTTCCCATTCATTCTCTTCTTTCTCTCCTACTTTCACTCTTATTTCTTTCACTTCTTTCCTTTTCTTCCACATCCAAGATCCACTTGACACTACCAAATAGGGATCCCAATCTTGATTAGCACTCCTAATTCAAAAAGTTACTGTAGTACAATAAGTCTTCCATCTACTACTTTCATTTCATAGAAACACAGGGTTGGAGGTCTGCTAGTCCAGCCCCCTGCCCAGTGAAGGAATCCTCATACCATCCTGGACAAAGGGCTGTCCAACCTCCAGTGATAGAGCACCCACAACTTCAGGCAGCAGGCAGTTCCACTGCTTAACAGCGCCAACGGTCAGGACGTTCCTTATTTTAAGCTTGGATCTCCCTCTGTGAAGCTCCCACCTGCCGGCCCTTGCCCTCCTCTCGCAGGCAGTGGAGAACAGACCCACACCCTCTGGCCTGGGGCACCCCCCTTCCTGCATCGGAAGACCCCTTAGCCTTCTCTTCTTCAGGCTAAACGTACCAAGGTTGTTTAACTGCCGTTTGTACGATTTTGCCTCTGAGCTCCTCACCATCTGGCACTCTTCTCTATATTTTTTCCAGTTCTGTGTCCTTTTTGTGCTGTGGCGACCAGAATGGGACATAGCGCAGTCTGACCATAGAAGGATACTATCGCTTGCTGTGATCTTCACACTGTGCCTCTGTTGATGCAGCCCAAAACTCTGGGTGGCTCTTTTGGCAGCTGCAGCGTGCTTAATCTGTGGTCTACCAGTGTACCTGGATCCTTCTTGCTGAGCCAGGCACCACCTATCTTGTACCTGTGCATCTGGCTTTTCCAGCCTTTTGTTGGATAGGGCCCAGTGTTCAAGTCTATCAAGATCCTTATGAAACTTGAGCCTATCTTCTGAGCAGTTAGCAATATCCCCTCAGCTTTCTGTCATTTGCAAATGTTATGAACATCCCTTTTATTCCCTCATCTAAGTAATTTATGAAGATGTGTATTTATTGTTCATTTATTTGTTTATTCAGTTTTCATGTCTTTGAGTGGCTTACAAAATAAAGAGCAGCATAAATGTTGAGGAAGTAGAAACAAAATAACAAATACCCAAAAAGAATTACAAGAAGCTGGCAATCCAGACGACATCTCAAACAGGTGGTCCCTACCACGCTAGCCCAAGGCCTGGGAGAACAGCCAGGTTTTCAAGGCCTTCTGGAACGTTATCAGTGTGGGAGCGGCCCAGATCTTGTGGGGACCTCTTTCCAGAAAGCAGGTGCCTCTACAGAGGAGGAATGCTTCCTGGGCCCTTAAAGATAACATTGCTTAATTGAGAGGACCCGCAGCACACCCCCTCTGCTGGATCGTACCAGCTGGGCAGAAACCGTGGGAGATGGGTGGTCCCTCAAATAACCAGAGACTAGTTATGTCCCACAGGGCTTTATACACGATAACCAGGACCTGAATTGCACCTGGAAGAAAGCACACTGGCCACCAGTGCGGCTTGCAAAGCAGAGGGGTCACGTGGGCATGGCGAGGCAAGCGCATCGCTGCTCATGCTGGTGCAGTCTAGACCAGCTGAACCTTCCAAGTGGTCTTCAAAGGGCAGCCATCTGGCGTGTACTGCAGTAGTCTAGCCATGAGGTGATAAAGCTTCCACGTTTCATCTACGTGGGAATGCAGCAGAGTTTCTAATTTTTTACCGTGAGTAGAATTTATACTTACCTCTGCCAATGGTTCCAATAAGATGAGTGGAAACATTCTTGTTGTGAATTCTACCTGATGTCTGGTGGAGAATGACATCACGGACTGGGCCTTCCCTAGGAAGTAGTAAAGAAATGTAGGGGATCTAAACTGTGATAACAGCATTATCCTGTAGTTTGGGCCCCAGTGGAAAGAGAGACATGGCTTTTTAGATCCAAAGCTGAAAAGGAGCTCTGAAGGGTGGAGGGTGGTCATACTCACTGGGCCTGCTGGCATCTCCTTCAAGAACCCACTCCTTTTCCTGGGTTCACACAGGAACTGCATTTCAGTTAAGGGGGCACCAATAGGATGCAACAAGTCCAATTTGGGAGTGTGAGAATAAAATGCATGCTATGGGAAAATGGAATTTACCAATTCTAGCAATGTAATATGTCTGGGAAGAACAAAATGATCTCGGGCTGCACAATTACCACAGTTGTGGTATAAAATGTTTACAGACGGTACATAACTCCATTCATAATTGCAAAATATATATAAATTATATAACAAGAAATGTCGGAAATGCTGTGGTACTGAAGGAACATTTTATTACATGTGGTGGCTGTGTAAATTCAAAAGTACTAGAAAGAAATATACAGTATTAAAAAAAAACTTGAATTTTTTTCTACTACAAATCTTTTCAGAACAAATAAAATAAAAAAATATCATAATAAATTATAGTACACGCTTGACAGCTACAAAGGTAAATTTGGCCCAGCATTGGAAAAGAAATACTTTGCCAGCAATACCAGACTGGGAAACCAAACTTGGGGAATATGCAGCAATGGCAAAAGTAACGCTAAACTTCCAGAGTAGAAGTTAGACTAAATTTAAGCAAGAATGCATCCCCACATATTACATATCACACAAGGCAAACTTAGATATTTAGAATAAGGTTTTTAAGGGGGAAATGCTTGATATAAAGATAGTAATCAGAAGCAATTTTAATGTTTATAAATATTTCGATGGAATTATCAGTCGGGTACAATGAGAGGGAATTTAGAACTCAATATTGTTTTTAATGATTTTTTAAATTATTTTTCATGTTTTTCTTCTCTTTTTTTTTACAAGATGATGTGCATTTATTTTAGGAATAATGACATCAATATCAATATTGTTTAGAGTTTTGTAGCAATTTTCAATTATTTCTTAACTGAAATAATGTGAGTAGTTTTCAATATTCTAATCAATGAAATAATGAATTTTAAATTTTGTGATAATTGTCCATATTGTTTATTTACTGAACTTTTATTTTCTATCCACTATGTACTTTTTTACTTTATTCTTTTATTTAGACATTTATTTTGTTCATTCAATGATTTAAAATAATTTTTTAAAAAAGTTTTTTAAAAAAGAGAGAAAGGAATAGTGGCTTTCCCAGAGAAATGAGGGCCCAGACAAGTTGGGGAGAAGGATAGATATTGATAACACATTATTATTATTATTGTTATTATTTTATGGTAAGAGGAGTTTGAAGCAGAGTCTGCAGATATCAGTTGATAACGGGGGTGCACCAGCTTTTCTTCAACAAGAACATGGACTGAATAGCCCAGAAATAGCCTTCTTTCCCATTCAAAAATTTCAAACTATTAGTGATTATGATAGTAATAGTATTTTATATCAACTATCCTGCTACTTAATGTTAACAAAGTGGAGTACATCAAATAAAAGCCATCAAAATTTCAGATCTTTAAAATGATGAAACATGAAGCACATGCCCTGGAATGAGCTATTCAAGAATTTAGTACTGTAGTAGACAACCTGTGACCTGCTGGGTCATCGTTTCAGAGATATTTCCTTACCTAAACAGAGAAAGAGAATGAAGGATGTGTGTTTTTTTATTTTATGGTTTTTATATTTATAAGGTGCACTGGGATGGCATTTAATTTTGTTGTACGAAGTGCAATGACAATAAAGTTTACAAATTACAAATTACCAAGGTAAAAAACAACAACAGTGGGATTGTGAGTGACTTGCTGCCGGCTTCTCCATTGACTTTGCTTGTGGGAAAGCCAGCAGAGAGCATCCGAAATCTTCCTCCCTCCCCCCCACATATAATATAGGCTTGCGCCATTTGCCCTCCTCTCACAAGTGCCCCCATGAAGCCTCCTTCTCTTTGACTGACCTGCAGAACCTCCTGCCACTTTGCTGCGAGGAGGTCGAACAAAGGGAGCCATGCACCGTGAGGAATACTGCACACCCACTCCTCATTCCGGTGTGTTCCCAAGGGCCCCCTCCCTCGAAGGAGGAAGAGGGCTCACCCATCAATCAGCCCTACCTTGCCAGTAGGCATCCAAGTTGCTCCCTTATCCTTCCCTCAACACTCACAGCCATTAAATTTCAAATTTCTGCCTCACTTCCAAAGTAGACAACTGCCACTCGCCCCTTGGGCCTTGCCACAGCCAATTGCACGCAGGGGACAGAGGGAGGTGGGAAAGAGGTCAGGGATATGCCCATGATGATCACATGACCTGGGCTGACCATGGTGGTGCAGCAGCACAGAAGTGCTGAAGCAGCCACAAATTCCCCAAATTTCAATCCCATGGGAGTAATGGGTCTCGGATTTTGGTTGCATTCTGTAAATGGGCTCATCTGAGGTACCTTGGTTCAAAAACTGTTGCCCTATGATGCACCGTTTCACCCAGTTGAAGGTTACAGGCATGAGAGTTTTAGTAGTATATAGATAAAAATAAAAATACGATTAAACATATTATTAGAAGTTTTGTGGATTCATGAAGTATCCTCAACAAGATTCAACATGCCGAAAATCAAATAAATTGTAAGGTTTCTCATTTCTATGCTGTCTAATAAAATGCAAAAAAGGAAATACACAAATACTAAAAATACTACATTCCCATATTAACACAGAAATATACAGATTTTATTTTTTGACTGCTGATTTTCATTAAGACATTGGTTATCAATGAGCTTCTAATATTTGCACGCAAGATTTTTTAATGGTATTTCTCATACATTTTCCACTGTTTTGGGAGGTGGGACAGGGCTACACACCAATGAAGTAGATTGTCCATGTCAAATTTCAACAGGGTAATACTGAAGAAGCATCCCCACAGCTCCATAACATGAAAGAACCAAGAAGTATACTAATTGTCTTAGTTTAATATGTTTTAATAATTAATTTAATTTTTAATTTAATAACAGCAGTCTCACCTGCTAGATGCAGAACGGTCTATCATCTCTGTAGGAGGTTGCTGCTCTTTTTTCCAAGTACAGAGTAAGATTGCATAACCACACCCTGGCTGGGACACCATCATCTCAGGAGAACCATCAGAATCTGGGTTCACAGACAAGCTATCCACCTGTTCTAGCCAAGAAAAAGAATCAAACCTAATCAGCCAATTTAAAGAACTTTCATTACTGCTTCTGCTGCTGTCCCATACTCTGTAGTTTAGTCCTGAACTCAGGACAAAACAGCAGCATTCTGAATATTGTCCTACTGATCTAAATGAGATGAGGTATAGTGTTGGGTGAAGGAGAGCAGCAGCTATATAAACAAATATGTAGGGTGAGAAGAACCATTTTGGATTCCGCTGGCCATGGGAGACATGGATCAAAATTGCTTTAAGATTACTGCTGAAGACTATCTAGGTTTAAAGAAACCAAGTTTTATTTTTTGGTGAGTATATCTGGCTGTCTTAGGGAAACGTGGCAGAAGGATGCTAGTTCAAGGTAGAGGATGATAGACTACTTCCTATTGAGAGTTAGATTTGCCCAAATGACTCCTTTTTGCAGGAGCAGGAAACCCATTGAAAGGGAATGGATTCCAGAAGGCTTTGAGAAAGTTTCTAATCAATCTGGGAACATCAGCCAAAGCCCTGATCAACCTTTAGGACATGATGATAAATTAGATAACATAATCACTCTCGAGGGTCCCTCATTGTACAGAGCTCATGTAGCCCTTTGGTTCAGCCCTCAAGCAAACTGGAAGATGACCAGAATGAAGATGCTCTGACAGAACTCTGAGTTCATGATTGATCTTATTCCATGGCAATAATGGAGAAAGCAGATTTTTTGTCCAACATTGTACCCTCACAGTATTGTCCAGAACCACCCAGGAAGCAGGCAGTGTTCAAATTTAATGAAACAAACAAATAAATTTCTGGGTGTTTCAGAGGTTTGGGACATCTGACCTTGTAGGAGCTCCTGGTTCTTCAAAAAACTGCTGGTATGTCTCTGTGGTATGCTTACTAGTTATCATACTCAGATTATGTCGTGGACTCCTCTTTCTGCCTCTGAATATGGAGCAGAGAACCTGATGAATTGTCAGCGTGAGAGTGGGGAGCCAAGAGCAGTCAGTCACCTGAGGCAGTTTCCATGTCTATGAGTTTGACTCAGCACAGGTAGATGCTGACTGCGAGATGAATCCAGGCCTGAGTTAAGTGCTTAGCCCTAAAAATATCTGTGCAACTCAAGAGGACAGGGCAGCAATTCCCTCAGTCAATCAAAGCCAAGGGCTCTTGCTAAAGAAGGACATCCACCTTGTATTTTTCATTTCCAGGTGTGTTTTCTGACCACAAACATTCTCTGTCTCCACTTGGGGGCTGATTTCTGGCATGTGGCTCTGAATGGGTTCCTGTGAATGCTGCTGGCTCTGGACTTCTGGCCACCAACCAAAGGCTCAGTTTTTTGCTACTTTGGCAACTTCCGCAGATCGACTTACTCCAGATGACAGTCAAGAGTGCTCTGACATGTCTCACATTATCAGATTTATAAACTTTAGCTTTTTCATTATCTCTTTTTATGTACAGGTAGTCCTTCCTTAAAGAGCATTCAAAGTTATAACAGCCTTGGAAAAAGTGCTTTACTACCTGTACTTGTACTTATGACCACCACAAACTGCTGCATCACCCCTGCAGTCACATGATTGTGATTTGTGACCTTTTTTATGATGCTTATTAAGCAAATCACCACAGTCGTTAAGCAAAGGACATGGTCGTTAAGCAAATCATGTGGTCATTATGTGAATTCTGGCAAAAAAGGTCCATTGGAGAAGCTGGATTTGCTTAATGACCATGTGATTTGCTTAACGGCTGTTGTAAAAAAGGTTGTAAAATCAGCTCTGGTCATGTGAGAATTCACTTAACAACTAAGTGACCTAAATTCCAGTCCTTATCATGGCTGGATAGTGAGGACTACCTGTAATGACGTAATTTTGGCTATCTAAATTTCAGCTACCTAATAAACCATCAACCCTAAGTTAGAATCAATTTGTTAATTCAACTCTGGTCTGCTTGCAACTCAGCCTCAGATGGGATAGGCTGCAAATTTGGGCAACTCAAACTGTCGAGATCTTTAGGGCACTACCAGATCAGACAGGATGCTTGAGAGAGTTTGGCCAACCACCCATTTGCTTGACTCTTCCCTTGTGAAGCTTATAACCTCTAGTATAAAAGGACAGCTGATCCAGGTTATATATTCCCCTTGCAGTAATGAATTACATGAAGGTCACAGACAGACGCTCAATGCAGATAAAACAGAGATTCTGTCAGTGGATGTTCTATCTGTATGGATGAATGGAATTTAGCCTGTTCTGGAAGGCACTGCATGCTCATGAAGAATCATAACTGAAGCAAACTTTTACATTTATCTTAGCCTCTAGTGGCACAAACCACCCTTTATTGCTCTAGGCTGCTATGTCAGCTTAAGCCTTACATGGGTTGGGGCAGCCTTATTACTGTAATCCATGCCCTGGTATCTTATTTCAATTTCAGCTATGCAGTTTATGTTTGATGATGCTGGAAATTATGAATACAATCCATCAGTTCTGTGCAGTCTTCACTGGCTTTCAGTTTATTTCTGATTCCAATTCTAAATGCAGGTATTTCATTTATGGCTTTGGATCACATTAACTGAAGGAGTGTCCCACATTCTGCACGGCCTTACCTATACCGTTAGGGTTAGGGTTGAGGGTGCTGATCCTCAAGTGCAGGGTGGTTATCAGAGAGCAGGCCTTCTCAGGAGAAGTCATTCTTGACTTTAGCATCCCCTTGCCAGTACCTACACAGACATTACACTAATCCCTTTGGGGTAAGATATGGACATTTTTAGCCTCTTAGGCCTTTTCATATATTAATACATTAATGTTAAAGTAATGTAATTTTAAGCCTAGTAGCTTCAGAAACTTCTCTGGCTGATGCTTATATTTTTTACTGCATTTTGATGATTCTGTATTTTAATTATTATTTGAAATTTGTATATTATGCTTTTAATGTCACTGTGGAAAAACTTGATATTGGAGAGCAACAGATTTTTTAAATAAAGAAACATTATGGACATTCTGTGCATTACATAGCACTGCTACAATATTATTGATGTGGAACTTTCAGGTTGCTTGCTAAATGAAAAACAACTCCTATGTTGCTTTGTTTGTTGAGTTTTGGAGGTCAGTTGCCAAATGCACGGTGTAAATTGTTTTAATTATGAGGAACAATTGGAGTGTCGATGGCTGGTGTGGGTCTTCCGGGCTGTGTGGCCGTGTTCTGGAAGTTTTGTTTCCTAATGTTTCGCCAGCATCTGTGACCGGCATCTTCAGAGTGCAGGAGGACAGATGGGAGCAGTTCTCTCTGTGCCCAGGGTGATGTGACCCTTTTGTGGGTATTTATAGAGATCT